TGCGACTGTCATTTATGCAAAATAGCTGGCATGCCAAGGAAGCAGTCCGCTCTCCCTCTGAGCCCCAGGCCCCCAAGCTTATCTCAACTGGCTTACTATATATTTAGACTATATATATATATCTCTATATTGATAAAGGTAGCGGAAGGGCTTAGACAGTCAAAAGGCGGCCGACGGAAGAAGAAGGTCTGCTTCTTCGTAACAAAAGTAAGGACGGGGGTAAAAACGAAAGTCTTCTGATTTCTGCCGAGGCCGACATTTCTATTAGAGGTGCCGCCAATGGAACCCAATAGATATAGATCCGATCGGAGAAGGAGTTTTGCGCGTGTTTATGTATCAATCAGAGGCGCGGATCCATTTGCATGATGCGGCACAAAACGAAGTAGCTGGAAATGGATCTGGGTAAGGGGGATACCTTGGGTGTAAGGTTAAGGGAGATGGAAGAGCTGGAGGAGCTGGAACTGGTGATGCACTGACTCAGCTGAGAGTTCTCTGGGATCATGAGAAAGACGAGATTAGCGCAACGAATTATGAAATTGAAATTACTCCAAAAAGTGTTTGGCGATCGATACGATACGAATCCGAAGACCAACAGTCAGCATATTTTTTTAGTATTAAAACCAAGTCATCGTGGATCAAATGCGCTATGCCGACGCCTGATATTTGTGTTTATATATATATATATATATGTTCGGGTATAGCTTGAAACCCCATCCTCTTGAGATGCGCTAATCTCTCAAAGGAGAAGAAGGCCCCCATGCCATCTCAGCCAATCCAACAAAATCCAATCCAAATCCGATCTAATTAATCAACATTCACTGGCCAAAACAGTGTCAAATAGTTCGGGGGTCGCTTTGTAATTGCTACCATTTGAAATGGAAATCGCTGTGGAATATATATATATATATAGCTATATAACTGCCTCGCCCATTCCGGCTGTCGATTGTCAAACTCTGACACAGACGGTGACTGTCACCTCGCGCTGAGCTGAGACTGCAATCGATCATGAAACCCTGGCCTCCACTCACATGGCTCTTTGTGGCCCTCGGTCTCTGATTAGCCGCCGCATTTACCCGGCATTCCACGCTTGACATTTTCCTGGCTTCGATTGTCGGCCAATTAAACGGTTACCAAACTGATTGTGATTTTGTGGCCAACTGAGAGATGGAGATCAAGCCAAAAAAATTGTCATGAATTCGGTGTAAAGTTGCTGGAACTTTGGAACTTTGGGTTTTAAACTATTTTATATATCAGGGCAGTAATTTGTTAATATTTTTAAATGCCAATTTGTAGTTGTTCATCAAGTATATAATTTTGATAGTTTAGAACCACTGATGCATGGAGTTTGTTACCTGAAATTAACATAACTACAAAGTGGTTTCAGTTTCTAGTTTTAAAGTTTAAAAATGTTTCATAATTTACAAATATTTTTATGCCCAGAAGTAAGTCTTAAAATTCCATGTGACTCATTTAATATTCTAAGCGCTTTTCTAATTAACCACTAAATTAATTTTTTATCGTCATCACCAAAAAGAAATCGTTAGTTAAGGCGGACAAACATTTTCGTTGGCACCTTTCCTTGACCATTTCGGTTGGCGTCACCTGTCCAACGCACGTTCGAAGCTGTCGCTGGTGCGTTAAAAATGATTAATTAAGGCATTTGAAAATCATTTGTCATTCTTAATTTATTAATTAATTAGAATTGCCCAACACGTACATTGACACCTGAAGCGGACTCGAATCTCCGACTGAAAATCCCTCATCGGGGGCGTCCAACTGCTAAAGCGATGTAGAACCGGTTGGTGATAGCCCAAAGGTACAGATATTTTGTCAAACTTAACGATTAAATGCAACGAAGAGATGCACTTTGAAAGTATTACATAAATTGGTATCTAAAAGTATAGTTTAATACTTTTTGTTGGGTGAAGTTTCGGTTTTAATGCTATTTTAAACCCATTAGGTGCTCAGTAAAAAAGGAAAATGATAAAATACGATAAATATACAATAAATATAAGCTATAATATCTTGGCTCTTGGCTTAGGTTTTACTTTGGTTTTCTTTTTAAATACTTTAATAAATTTTATTCACCACACCAGCTCAGTGCCGCCAGAAAAAGCAAAACAGAACGTCTTGTTTCGGAACTATAAAATAATTTACATGAGCTGAACATGTAGATATACTCGAAATATACATTTTACTTTATTACTTACGTATTTGGGGTAGAGTAGTTGATGGTTTGAGTATATGCTAAGGTAGCGTCTAGGTTCTCTGCTTTGCTTACAACTTCTCATGGTTTGTGTCTACGGTAAGTTAAAAAACAAAAAACAAAATTAAAAAGCTTTTTAAGCATTGTTAAATTAAAAATTAAATATTTAAAAAATTTATCAAAAAAATATATATAAAATGCTGGAAGTTTTTGTATTAGCTAAGCAGGAGCGGAGGACAAGGGTGTCTCTTTGCTAAATTAATACTTAAAAATAGTTTTATAATTTTAATAATTTCCTTATAAAAATATCTAGGTATGACATTACGTCAAGAGACATTCAATCACGTTACAGTTCCCAGTTCTGATGAGCAAATAAAACCTTAACCGCATAATTCATTATCCGCCGTCACAGAAGTTCCATTGTGCGACGCTTCGATTCGCTTCGATTTACGATCTCAACGCACAATGGATCACCGATAGCCATAAGGAAGTGAAGATGGGTCGGACACAGCTGCTCCCCTCAGAACTATAATCATTTACAATGTTTTTATAGCTAAATGATTAATATAGAAACCCATATTCGAGGGCCCACAGTTGAAATGTCATTTTGAAGGCCCTTTGGTGGCTTCATAATCTCTTCTGTAACTCCGCCGATCAAGAAAATTCATTTAACATTTTTTAATATCCCTCCCTTCTTCGGTTCTGGCTTACGTATTTCCTGACTGGGCCAACATTATTAAGACATTAACTCCAAGAATTTCGAGCTTCAACTTGGCTTGCACAGCATGTACTCAAACTATTATTATTTAATAGTATTTTTTTGAGCAATTCAAATGCTTACGACTTTTACGAGTTGATTCAATCGTCTTAAAGAACTGTCAAATCATTCAAATAAATGGCCCCCTACTTCCCACACCCCCACCGAAGGTGTTTGTATAGTCGTGAGGCACTAAACAAAGAAATCCAATATAAACAAATATTGAAAATCAATAAAAAACTTTAATGCGAGCGGCGCTAGGAATGTCTAAGATTCTGCAGACGAACAAAGAATACGAAACAATGGTTAATTAATTAAATGATTAATGACTAATAATCGAAAATAATAGTTTAAGTCAGTTAAAAGTTACTTAAAAATATATAAAATCTAGTTTTTAGTTTGGTGTTAAAGAAAAAATGTTAAAAAATTATGAAATAAAAGGGGAATTACACTTTTCTAGAGAAACAAACTTTTGAGTAAATTTTTTAATTATATCCAAAAGTTGTCTAATTTTCAGCTTTTGCTAAATTAGGAAAAGACAACCACGAAATAGATATGTTTAAGGAAATTTGACAAATAGCTGCCAATAAAATAAATCAACAGAATTTGGCCAGCTTTTGTGGATCTCGCAAAGCAGTTGGCAACAGGAACAGCTACAGTTCGTACAGAAAAAAGGCGAATAAACAATATTAAAGAGTTGGAAATATTTAATAAAAAATATATTAAAAAAGAGAATGAAAGGGAATTCAAATACTTCGTCCAACATCAATTTATACCAATTTTTTTAAACAATTTTTAAGTTTTTTCAAGATATTTCCATATTAAAAGAAATCTAAAAGTTAATTATTTTGAAAAGTCACATTGCAGTGTTTTATATAAACAAAGAAAACCCAAATAATTAATTAAAAACATCCCAAAGACTGACAAAAAGATTGATGATGATCTTTAGCCATGTAAGAAAACTCTTTCCAAGTACTGTCCATCGTAGTGGGCGTATGAGTTGAATTTAAATTCTTGCTCAAACTTTCTCCTATATGGAAGACAAAGAGCATCATTATTATAACTTCAAAGTCATCGGGAGAGACACGTATCCACAATGCAACGTGGCAGCTGCACTGGATCTGGAGCTCAACTTTTGTCAGCCGGGGCGTATGATTGATGTGATGATGACACACACACCAGTGCCAAGTTGATGGTAAATCACAGTTAGAGAAAAAGGCGAAACCGTTATGAATCGCTAATGGCAATCAATCATCGGTGCCATATCCATATAGATATCGATAACTTCATGCGTTGGCAGACGAATCGGTGCCACAAGTCGTGTGATTTCGATTGCCCAGAAATGATGGACAATAAAATTGAGATCTTTATGGATGCTTGGCATCACAAGGCTTGGGTTTATGTCGATCTTAAAGATTGTCTCCCGCATTTAGGGTACCTGCTTTGAAGTTCATTTAATGGCTGGTGGGCGTTACATGGCTCATTTTATTTTATTAACCTGGCTAATTCTGCCATATCCCGGGGATTTTTATAAGTCCACTTTCAGATTTTATTTTTATGAGATTTATTGATTAAGTGGGTAAAAGCTGATTAAAGTTGTCAGATTGACTTTAAGTGATAATCTTATTAATTTATTTGGTCAATTAAGAACTTAAAAAGAAAGTCTACGATCAGGAAAGGCTTTAAAAATGGATTTCAGGTTTTAAGACCTTTTTATAACTTATAAAATTATAAAATTAAATTATTAAACATATAAATTTAACATATAATATTTATTTTTCTGTTTTCGTTAATTGGCACAAGCAAAATAAAACAAAAAACACGCGACCCATCGACTTCTTATTGACTGAACTAAAACAAATGTTCAGCTAAAATATCTGTTTTATGGAAAATACTTTGCATTGTCTTTGCCATATTGAAAATTCGGCACGTGGTAATGCAGTTGGTAGTAGCTATTTCCGATATGGCCCTATATATATGCGTCAGTAATTTCTTTAAATAATCAGTTCAAATCGTTAATTCGAAAAGAAATCTTTAACCATGAAATTCCTTTTGGTCTTGTGCTGCCTCGTCCTCTGTGTGGCCCTCAGCTCTGCTCAGTGCAATGGACGTCCTCGTGAGTTTATATTAAAAAACCGTAATTTAAAAAAACCTGAAATACAAAATTCTCTTTGAAATAGGCTTCCAGGATTGCCATGGCGGCAAGGACGAAGGTGTCAGACAGAAGCACCATTGTATAAGTGAGCCCAATCCTGAGATGTGGTACTATAACCACGCCACCAACCAGTGCCTGAAAATGCAGTACCACGGCTGTGGCGGCAACAACAATCGCTATTGCTCTTTGGTCGGCTGTCAAAGGTCCTGCATTCGTAATTAAAGAATTCAATTGACCTCTTAATGATCTTCTTCTAACGCAATGAAAGATAATTTTCCAAGATATTTAACTGCAAAGATAAATTTGATTTACTTGTTTTTTTGTTTTTCAAAATTAATAAATTGACTTTTGAAGGTAATCATTTCTTTTCTTGGTTGGTTTGGGGAAACATATTTTTTACAGGCTTCAAAATATCACAACAAATCCTTGAAGTTACAGGTTAAACATATTATTTCAGATTATTTATTTATCTAAGGCTAGTTAAACCTAAGAACTAACATAAGGCTAGTAACAACAGCTAAGGCCTTCCGCTCGCGGCTAGTTTAAATTTGGCAGGTGATTAGGGAGTTGTCCAGGAACTTAAGGATATTAAGGGAGGCTTATGCGGTGATTGGGTCTGGATTTTAGAGGAAAAGGAATCTTTGCATGGTGAGGGAGTAGGGCAGGTAAAAATAATATGATGGATGTCCACCTGAGAGATGAGGAATGTTGCACAATGGTTGTATTTTGATATGTCAAGGTAGTGAGTGTTTGTTAGGTATGAGTGTCCTAGTCTGAGTCGGTTGAGGATATGTACTCTTCTGTTTAGGGAAGAGTTTGTGTGGAGCTTTAAAGTTGTTGTCAGTTTGAGTATTTCTTGGTACCAGACAGAGGTATGCAGTTGTGACTTTTTTGCCTTGTAGGAGCTATCGAAAAAATGAGAATTAAGGGGCAATTTTGTAGAACGTTTGGCAGCTTTTAAATTCCAGTTAATTCCCATGTAAAGGGGGGTTCATACCTTATTTCATATTTACAATTTTATTGTTTTTTATTTAACAACACACTTTGGCAACCTAAAATACCAGACAATTTCGTAATTTCCCGCCCCGACGCCAGGCTGCACCCAAATTAATCAGCACACCACCACCATCGAAATAAAAGCAATTACAAGGAAAAACTCACGCAATGCATTTTGACATTTAGCCAAAGATCTTTAAGAGATCCACCGATGCAGACGCAATCAATCATTAGCATCTTTTCAGAAATTAATTCTCGTTTTTTACGATTTTTTTTTCCTTTTTGTCATGAAGTTTGGCCCACGCAAGTCACATATCGAATGCTGCCATTATGTCTGGGGCAGAGACTCGTTGAAAATTGAATCGTTGTGCAGTGTGTGGCACGCATAGAATTAACACAATTGAATGAATAATTAAAATGGAGAAAGAGTTAAGCGACGAACTTTATGCCGTCGTTGAATCGAATCGCGTGGAGTTCGAGGGAGCAGTCAGGTAAGCCAGTAAGTCAGTCAGTCAGTCAGTTAGTCAGCCAGTCAGTTAGTCATTCACTTATTCAGTCAGTCAATCAGGCAGTGAGCTTCCCACCAGCCAAAATGTTAAATTACAAAAGAGCAGGCATTGCATGTGCTTTGCAGATTTGGTGAAGCTGCTGAAATGATGCCATCAGCGCCAACGAGCGACAACAATAGACAGTTTGGTACAGTGAGGCCATAATAAAGGAAAATTAAGAAAGTATTACAAAAATTATATTCCTTAATCAGTTCTTAAGCTGAAAATGTTTATGGCTGAGGTGGTAGTACAAAATCTTGCATATTTTCCTGCCTTTTTAACTTTTAACCAAGAACAAATCCTCTCAAATCAATCTCCACTGTACCCCAACTGGGGTGTGGGCTGCCTGAGCGAGCAATGAAGATGCCAGATAGACGCTCCAGAGACAATTGTCTGCCTGAGGATTACCCAACACCTGACTTAACCCCCTTTCGGCCAACTAAGCTACCTGTACTTGGGCTCGCATTCATCGGGCCTAATGGGCTGCATAATTAACTAATGTAGGTGAATCAGCCAGCCTCCCTCCCAGACTCGTGGCATAAATGAAGTGCGCAATGGTAACAGCTCTGGCTGGCGGACCCCATCATTGGGTAACCCAAAAAAATATCGAGCCAAAGGTGTTCATGTAAAGAGGAAGAAACGCCTACTTCGGACTCATTCACTTGCCGCAATTAACAGTGTTTAATTATCTGCAATGCCGTTCGGTGGGTTAACATTTAATATTGCCTTAAACTTGCAGCTTAATTGGATTATGTAATGAAACTATAACTAGGCTGGAAAGTTATAATATAAGTCAAGGAAATGAAGTAATAATTGGCTAACCCAATGATTATTTACAAGCAAAAGTCCTTTTTTTTCTAGATTTTTTGAATTGAAGATCAAAGATTTCCTTCTCCTAAGCCATCTCAGACTCCTTCCTAGCCTACTGATCCATTTCAGCATGTACTTTATCGCCTTTTGATTAGATCATGGCACCGTACAGAGCTCACCTCACCCAGCTTTCTCAGATCGGTTGGCAAAGTAAAACAAGAAATTCGCATTTAACCATTTAACAAGCCAAGTATTTTTTCGCTGACCATTTACGGCGACCTAATGAATAACTACTGGCTGACTGGGTAACTGACTGACTGACTGGGACAGACTTTATGGCATGCTGTACCCGCTAAAGATGCAGAAACATTGCGAAAGGCTAGCAATGCTGGTCCCCTTAATGAAAATGAGTTAGATGATTACGAAAAACTGAGGGATAGCTCTCATGAGGTTGGGTTTCTAACTAGAGCTGACTAGAGCAGCTTGAGCTCTAAAAATCAAAAATGTTAAGCAAATATTCGTATTTAATTAATCAAATTAGGAAAATAAGAAGGCTATAGACTAGTGTTAGCTATAATTTGAAATCTATTCAAATTAGAAAACTTCCATTCTGTGAGGTAACCATGTAACCTGCCTGATATTATACAAATTCCATTGATTAATTGCTGACATGACAAATTCGCTGCTTCTAAATGTGACACAAACTAATGGAGAAGAATAAAATTAAAAAAAATTAGAAATACAAAAAGCAAAAATCTAATACAAAATAATGCCCACAATGGCAAGACCTACAACGACAGCAGGCACAACAAACAATTTGTAATTAACACGCGTGGGTCTCAGACTGAGACGAGCCAGCGAGCGAGAACAAACGATATATATATATATATATATATACATACCTGAACAAGTTGAAACTTGAAATGATATTCAATTTTGCCACATGGTCCAGTTGCCTTAAAAGGCAGATCGATCCACTGTCAGCCTATGCCAAAAATACAGTTCTTAACATAAAGATAAAACTTAAATGAATTTAAAAAGTTAAGTTTATTTTGCAACTTCAAATTAAAAACTTAAAAATTGTTATTTAATTCTTAATAATGAGGATTTTTAATACCCTAAGGGCACACTCTTATACCCATGAAACGCACTGTTCCGAATGCCATCTACATATATGCGCTTCTCGGTAGAAACTTGAACTTGTCCAAAACCGTTTGACTGACTGATTTATATGAATTTTATTTATAGAATTTGGCCAGAATTCTGAGCTGAACAAAAACATTTACATGCCATGTAAATTGGCTGTCCGTGTGGGGCATTTATTTAATTATTTATTTATAATTAAATTGTTTATTTAGCAGACGATGTGGTCTTTGCCTTTTCCGTTGGCCAGGAAGCCAATTAGTTTAGCTTTATTTGGCCTAAACTATTTGACGTTTCTGCAGCTTCTCCAAGACGTTTTTCTATTTGGTTTGAAGATTTTTTTATCGCTTGATCTAAGGCTGAGGAAATATCAAATATCCACAATTTAAGTTAATTAAGTGATCAGTAAAAAAAAATGTTAAATCAAATGATGTTAGGCAGAGAGGACAGGAAGGAAGTGATTGGAATGTGGATGATGGCGAGGGAGCATGTTTGAGCTACAAAAGCAGCATAGTAGGAACTATCTAAAAAGGAACTAAAAAATTATGTAAGTGCTGGTTTAACTTACTAAACTTACGGCTCCGCTATAATATCATAGTTTCACCCTTTCCATTTGCCTTAAATTCATATAATCTCCGCTCTGGCTTCGCTTTTTTCAATTTCCAAACCGTTTTCTGCACCGACTTCTGTCTTGTCAGTCAGCCTCCAAAAGACAACGCAATATTTTTTGGCCTGGCATTCGCTGTTGTTTCTGATGTCAGGCCCCCCCATTTAATCTTTTGGCTGCAACATGTAATAGCTCTTTAAAAGGTTCAGAGCCCAAGCACACTCTCGACTCTTGAATTGGGTCAGCAAAGTGTTATGTATGCGACTCTAAGTATTTACCTATAGAGCATGTGAGCCGCCAGAGTCTAGTTTCAGCTAGCTAAAGGCATTTTGGGGCATGCCACACTCAAGCACATAAGCTACGAATTTCGGAGATGAACATTGATTAGCCGGGGTCAAAGTTTACGGGGGCTAATCGTGAGTCGAGCCAAGTGAACTAACCGAAAACGTAACTTTTGGCAAATAGACTTTGGCAGAAACATCGTGCAATATGACTCAATTTGTGGTGCCGAAAAGTGTGGCTACTATAAATTATAAAGTTTATTTCTTAGTTCAGGGTCTTTAAGCTGATAATCTTATGAAGAAATCACTGATTTTATATCCCTGCTGATACAATGATCCTGCCTTGTTAGCAAAGTCATAATGTTTACCATCAGCCCACACTGGCAGATTGCGGCCAAGTCTAGCGCGTGGCCAAAGACGATCTCTAATTAAATATTCAAAACATATTCCCACCATAAATGTCTCATAAATACACGATTCCTTTTTTTATGATTTTGTTTTTTCGATAAAAAGGGCACGTTGCTTGGGCAAATGCAAATTAAGACGTAAATCAAACATAAAATCACGCCCAGACAAGAAACACTTGTGAGTTTGGGGTAAGCTAAATGTTAGACATGTTAAAAAAGTATATAGATCAGGCTATAATATATCTTTATTTACTGATTTTTAATTATTTTCTAAGATTTTTGTGACAATTTTAAGGGAACTTCCAGAAAGGTCTTCTTAAATCTTTAATAAATCCAAAATTCATAATTTAAACATATAAAAACTTCTTAAAAAGAAAACTAAAAGTGAAGTTGGCTTTTTAGCTAATGTTAAAAATGAAAAATTGCCATTAACTTCCTAGGCTTTGTGCCTCCTAAACAGCTGTCTCACCTGCTTAAGTGGCGACACCGGAAGCCGCAGGCAAACGCCAAACAGTTGAACCTTTGCCCATTACCAGGGCGTGTCTCCAGAAACCAACAGAAAAAAATAATAACAAATATATTCAACGAAAACCTCTTCTTCATGCTTGGCGGCTAATTAAACATTTTCTGTGTTTTTATACCCTTTTTTAAGGGTACTTTGATTTGTAGGTAGAAAGTGTTAAGAAATTAAATAAAATTTTCTCTTAAAAATCATTATTATCTTAAACTATCTTAAAAATAAGTGACTTTTATATATTTTTCAAATAGTATTTTTGTAAGAAAATAACAAAACAATTTTTCAAAAATAAAAACTGCTAATAAGATATAAGATAACCCATTTAACCTTATAAAATATATTTCCAAAATCCACAAATTAATTACTCCAGAACAATCTCCTTCAAAATCTTTGTCGCACGCTGTAATTATCAAATTAAATTGGCTTACAAATCAAATCTTAGTGAGAACTAAAAAAAATAAAATAATTACTTAAATTCAAAGTGTATTTAAGCATTTAATTCTTCCCAAGTTGGGCCTCTCGTTTGGGTTTATTTTCAGTTTTGTGTTTAGCAATTAGTCAGGCATGCACCTTCTGCTAAAAATCAGGAAGATTGTCAAAACACGTACAACATTTTGTTTGAGGAAGCACCCAGGTGAACACACAAAAATACGAGCTTACCTTTTTTTTGTGGGATTTTTTTTTTTTGGTTTTTTTATGTATAAATTTCATTTTTTGTATATTTCTAATATGTCTGCGTGTGGCACGTGGTGGACCCAATGATGGAGTGATATTATCGGTTACGCCCATTTACTGCCCATTAGTCGATGCATTAATGTGTGAAGTTTTGATAGGTTTTTTGCGTTTTGGTCTAAGGCAAGTCATTGGCATTTGAACTTGTATTAAAAATGAGAGGTTTCCTCCCCTTTTCAACGGCTAAACTTCCTAATTTTTCCCCATAAATAAACCAAATTTGAGTTCCAAAAATGGATCACTGAAACTGTTACGAGCACGGGGAAGAAATAACACTTTGAAATGCAATTTGTAGGCCCAGCGACGACGACAGCCCACAACTCGTGCCATAACTTTCAAATGCGATTTGTACAAAAATTTGTTACAGAAAGAGTTGGAGGAAGAGAACGGCGTGACAACAGTTGGCCATGCTACTAGCCAACCGACCAACTAGCCAGCCAACAGACCAACCAATGAATGCAACTAATTCGCGGATCCAAATAAGTCCAAATCCAATTTCAATTGCATTGCGAATGCGGCAGCCAGAGCCACGTTTTTGAACTAACCGACCCCGAAAGGGTCAAGTGGCGCGTGTAGCGAAAGCCATGGCTAAAATCTTAAACCGCTTCCAGCAGCAGCAGCAGCAGTAGCCCAATTCAAAAAGTTTTACTGCCTATATGGGGCCACCCACTGAAGGGCCGCTTTCCAAGCTCAAGAGAACCGATCTCCCCCCTCCCCCTCAAAAGTCGCTTGGCATCGTTTCGATCTTCATGCCCCAGTGCGTGGCGAGACCTTACTTGCGTCTGAACTTGACATGCATATGTATGCTCGTAGCTATATAGTCTCATTCCCCCTGCCCGATCTGCTAATCCCTGATCCACAATTCGATCATGATTAACCGGCTGGTGCGTGTTGCATGTATGCTGTAGGTAGGGTAGTAATCAGTCTAGACTGCATTGGGCTCGTCCCACGTTCAACATTGAGTTATTCGCATATCGAAAGTGTGCTGTTCTAATTAATGGCTTCATTTTCTCGCCCAGCGAGCCCCAATGACACCTTAAGGCTGAGAACAATAAATGTTTAATTAGCCAGACCCGCAAGGCATCGTAAAGTTATTATTATTAAAGTCCAATTTCGCTGCAATAGCCCATAAAGTCTGGTTCAATGGCATATACGCTACGTAAGGCATTACGTTAAGTAGCATTACGTTACGTTAAAAATGCCGGTTGTATGGCAGACAAAAGCCGGTGAAAGAGAGAGCGAGTTACTAAGAGAGCGCGGTGTAGAGTTGCCAGACTTTTTACAGATTGAAAAAACGAACTTTTTGTTATATTTATTCAATGTTATATTTACAGCTACTTGGCTTTTCCAAGGTTATCTTTTCTTTAAAGAAAAAAGGTGCAGCTGAGCTTCTGACATGACTTCATTTGTTAGCATTTAACTTAAATATATTTCTCAATTGTTATTAACTTTTATTGAACAGCTCCTTTTTGAGAACGAGACAATAAATCAACTGTTACCACAATGAGTTAGGCACAGTGTGTAGGAACGCCATTATCTTTATGCAAACAAAAAAAGTAGAACTAAGCCAAAGAGAACCCAAGCTCTCTGTCACATTTCATATCTAAAATATAGAAGATCTCTTTCTAGCAGAGAGCCGCTCCCCAACTGGGGCTGACATCATCGAGAGAGACCCAGTCTCCGGACCTGGCCAACTTGAAAAACTATAGGCCAGACTGTTGGTCTTAGCCGAGTATTTAATGCGAGCTGCGAGCACGAAACTCTTTTAGTACAGCGTTGGCGTGCGAGACAGACGGTTCGGTTTTCTGGACAGCTTTCAGACCTCAAAACGAGTTCGTTATTAAGCAAATATTAATGTGTATATATATATAGCTGTGTGTGAGCAGCAGATACTGTATGAACAACACTTTTCGGTGCCTAAAATAAAAGTATACAAATAATCTAGAAACAAAAACACGAGTAAACATTAAACAGTGCTTGGTTTGCTTGGGCTTTTTTGGGATGTTGTGACTGACTTGGAGTGCAGCCAAGCGTTGAGTGTGAAATGCAAAACTGGCGAGATTACTGAATCCGTCTCAAAGACTGAGCAGCGCGAGTCCCGAAAACAATTGCAAAGAAAGTGAAAGATCAGAGACAACGGGAAAAGGAAAAGTCCGAGAAAGGTTTCCCTTTCTTTGCGGCTACTTAAGTTTTTCCTAACTTTTACATAGATGCTATGTCAGGTGCAACGATTAGAAGTCCCCCCTAAAAAAAAACAGCTGTTACACTCAGACAATCGCCCACTGATCATTGAAACGTTTTTTTTCTTTCAATTTTTTAATAATAAATTTTTAATAATTTTTGTCCAATGCCTAGCTGACTACGCGTTTTTATTCGTATTCATCGAGAGCTGACAAAAAATATTGAAAATTAAAAGAAAAAAAATTGCCGTATACCACGCGTTTTTTGTATTAAGTCGAATTGCCATTGATTCATTGAGCCCCTTGTCTGTGTGTGTGTGTGTGTGTGCGTACGTGTGTGTGTTGGTAAATACAATCAGCAGAGCACGGCAAGAAGAAAAAAACGTAAAAAAAAACGTAAAAAACGGATAAAAAAGCGGCCAAGCGACATTGATGCCAATCGGCAGTGCATTTGTTGTTGTTGCCGTTTGCATCGGACCAGAATATAAAGAAATAAAGCCAAATAAAATATAAGCTAAAACGCCTTCAGTGGACTTCAGTTGGCTGGAAAAAAGATATCAAACGGACAGGTACGTGCAATTCGTCTCATTTTGATTTATTTTCAAGCTAACAAAAAGCCATAAATTACGGTTTATATTTTGTTAGCCATTGAAACTCACATTAATAGTAACAGAAATCAAGTGAGAGGAGCTAGGTCCTGAGACAAATTGTTGCCCAAAAATCAAAGAAACTAATGAGTAAATAACTACAGTTGATGATGCAATAAATCAGTTGAAAACATGTCCAAAATTTAGATATAGAAAATGAACATGACTTATAGAAAATCATTAAAAACAATCAAACTTAGAAAAAGTCTTTGCCTGTTGAGGTCATTGTTCTGTAGTTTCGACTTTCTGTTAATTTATTTCTCATTCAAAAACTAACAAAAACATTGCAAATAAAAGAAAGAAACATTCTCTTTTAGGCCAAGAAAGCCTTCTCATAATTATGTTTTCTCCCTGCTCCATTTTAGAGCAGCCAACAATGGAGGAGAATATTCTGATCCCTCCCTTTGTCTGATATCTAAAAGTAATATTTCCCAGTTAATTACTATGATCTGGCCAATATATCTTCTTACCACCCATTAGGGAGCCTAATCAAACGATTCTTTTATATATATATCATGATTCATTAATATATTTTCAAGCAATTGAGGTTCAATGATTCTAGTGCTGGGCATGAGTTCACAGACTGCCCATTAGTCATCGGAGTGTCCAGACCAGAACTCACTCTGGCCTTATGTGGCTAGTTGTCTGGTTTTGTACCTTTCTTTCTTACATATTTATATATCTAAAAGAAATCCAATCCTAACTGCTTCTTTAGTGATATTTATGACTATATCCAGTGATTTCGGGGAGGACAAATGTCGCTTTAGGAACTGGCGGACCGCATTAGTGCAAATTGCCAAAAGGTGTTGGCCCCAATTGTCACCTCCGCCAGAGATATTGAAACGAAAAACTGGGCGCGGAACTCAGAGCTTATGGCATATTGCATTACCTCGTCAACAAAGTGCGATAATACTTGATTTCTGTACTTCAACACGGTCTTTTATATGTATATTTTATGGGCACGCGCCTTTTGGGTCGTTTTATCGGTCGTGCTGAATGTCAAGAGTTAGAACTTGAGGCGATCGTGGCAGTCGAGGTTGACATTAAGACCGTTTCAACAGAGTTTTTTTAATTAACTTGAAGTTTTTTAAAGGATTTAAGCATAGCATATCCCTTGTTGAATCAAGAATCAAATTAGTTGAGCTTCTCACGTTTACTTTTCCATTTCGTATTCCCAAATTGCAACTCACACTTTACTTTACACACCCTTTTATGACCAGAAAAGGCTTAATGGTTGATGCTGCCCAAAATTCAAACTTTTTGGAATTTCATTTTGCATTGCCAATAATTTTTAATGATATTTTTGACATTTTTGAATGAGCTATTGTTATATTTTCATCAAATAAAACGAAAAATAAAACAAACAAATTCATAATTATTAGCTTTGCCTTTTATGGCTGGGGAATAAATAAAATTCTTTATAAATCATTTTCTAGCTAATGTTTCCAATGAACTCTGCCTGGCTTTGCAATTTGTTTGCATTTCGCAACCAAATATTTATCTTTTGGCATTAACTTTTTGAGGCCTGAACAGGATGTTCGAATGTGATTCATAGAAAATATGGTTAATAAAGCCTGGGTCAAGGTCTGTGGCTAGCTATGATGAGCTCAGAAGCAGGCTTGGACTTCCAAGGAAACGAATTGAAGTTTTCTCATTAGTTTAGCTTGCCAGTTTTTCCAATCCTTTCATTTTTCATCATCCAAACAGCCAGCCTTAATTAAACCATAAACACCTCAAAACATGCTACCATATTTAACACACGGCAGAACCCCACACATCGTGCCGGTGACCCACCCATCACCACTGGCAAACGACCCACACGACATCGATTTCTTGTTTCATTTTTCATTTTTTCCCCCTCATTTTTTTCAATTTCCAAGACAATGCCAAATCATTGAGCAGCCAAAAAACTGCAGCAAACAAACACCTCCGCATAACAGACAGCGACCACGATCCACCGAGCAGTGAGCAGTGAACAGGCATAGAGGAGGCCCAACCTAAAGACATGTTTAATCAATTTAAATTACCTTCAATTAGGCTCTTTGTTCGTGGTCTCGTGGACATTGCGAAAAGTCTTTCGGCTCTCGGCATCTCTGCATCTCCAGCATCTGCATAAATGAAATGCAAATGAGGAAAATGCCACTAATTTGTTCAGATTCCCCGAGTCTGAAATGGATGCATGAATATCTAACTTCAGAGTTGGCCAATGCTGGCAATTAAACAGTTAATGGCTTCATTCGATATGCATAATGGACAGACTTTCAGAGGGGGGACTCTGGTGGGTGTCGGCTTCGATTTTTATAAAAATGCAAATTTTCCTTTGAGTCATAAAGTGATTTAATGGTGAATCGAGTGCGGACAGATTGGGCAGGGCAGGAGGATATTGTGATTAGAATTTATGGCGGCTCTGAGTGTTTTTTTTAATGTCTTTCTAAGCTGATCATAAATGCGATTAATAGTAGATTTCTGAAACGATTTCTTTTGATCAAGGGCCATTAAAATGTTATAAACAAGTTTTATGAAATCTTTTGTATGAAACGTTTTATATAAAGTTGTTTTTTCTTACATGAAAATAACTTAAGCTTTACTAATCTTCATCTCATTTGGAAATGTCAATAGCCCAAAAGCTGAAAATCCTCTTAGGATTTCTTGACTTTAGCCAGTCTTTGCAAGACGAAAGACTTAGGACACTAACTTTCCGCTAACCTGCATATAATTAATCTCTTTATCCAAACTCAGCCAGTCCGCTTTAAGTGAAAGTTTCCATGGCCAATCGTCTAAATATCAAAGTGCCTGCAGCTCGTCAACTGTCAACCCAATCCACCTCCCATCCATCTGTTGCCATTTAAATGAGCCATCAAATCGGCACCCCAACCGAGACGCGTCTCCTGAGCTGTGTCATTGAACCAAACAAATCAAAGCCGCTTACTAAAAGTCGCTTACAAAAACACACTCTTAGGATTGATGACAAGCCCGGCAATGCCAAATGACAATTATTTACGCGGCAAAGTGTCATAAAAAATAGTGGAATGGAAAAAAGGCTGCGGAAAAAACTTAAACTAAAACCAGAAACCAGAGCCAAATGACAGCCAGCAAAAAGCCGAAATGTGTTTATTGACGTCATTTCATGAAACCAACAAGCCGACAGGCAAAACAAAAAACAAAAACTTACTTTTAATGTGGAGAAAATCCAGGCTCTGTCCGGGCTTGGCGGGAGGATACGAGGGAGTGGACTGGTGGCCAAAACCACCGCCGCCCGCTGAGCCATGACCAAAGCCCAAGCCAAAAACTGCTTGCGAATTGTAATAATTGCAAACAATTACAGAGACACCAAAGCGAGGTGGAAAAAATGGTAGCTATGTGTGGGGCAAGGGGTGGCAACGACTTTTTGATACCCAGCAGAAGGTGGTTAGAGAGCTCCTTTAAGAGATATTGGTACCCCAAACATTCATATTATCTCGAATAAAACTAGCCACTGAGCCTTAAGCTTCATGATTAAACATTTCGCAGTTGATTTTTATTACCAACAATCTTGTTATACATTTAACCATGAACACCATTTCGCCGAAACTGCCTCATAAAATCGAATACCCTTGTTAAAAAGCACTCATTGGATAGCATTTCGCGGACATCAAACTTTGGCCATTGTCTTGTCTCTGATTTTACGGGAGTTTGTGGAGCATATTAGCTCCTATTGGGGGTTAGCTTCTTATAGCCATCATATGGGTGCAGGGAAGCCATATTAAAGGCCCATTAGTTGAGGTTTCAGTTCGGTTCAGTCCTGACTTGGCTCCTGTCTCAGGCCCAGCATTTTGTTTATTTATTTTTACCAGCCTGCATAAATTATGTTCACGATATTCTCTTGTCTAGAGGTACGTCACCTTTGGGCTCTTTTGTTTTTTTTAGGGGATTTTTTGTGGGTCTAGTATGGGCTTAAAGTGGTGCTGCCAATTACTAGCATGAAGGTCTTTGACTGCGCAATCTTTGGCCAGCAAAAAGAGCTAGAAAATTCGTAACATTTCTGTTGCTGTCTTAGTTTTAGTTGATGTTGTTATTTCATTTCGGTTTTGTTATTACTTTTTATGACTCGTTTTTCATGCTTTTAATTTGTACGTCGCTGCTTATCCCATGAAGTCGAGCAATTATATTATTTATTATTGCCTCCCCGAATGTTTTTTCCAACCAAATACATATGTATTGTGAATGCTTTTCACGCTCTTGAGTTGATTGGCTTGCAAAACGCTTACGATATGGCAATGAAAACGGTTGTACAATGTATCTGAGAGATAATCGAGATTTTACATGCTAGTCTAATGCCATGGCTATCCATGGCATTGAGTTATATTTTCCTTCATTTTTTATTTTTATCAATCATTTCCCACTTGCACTTTCTGTCATCGCTGCAAGAAACCTGATGGCCGACAGATACAATTTTTTTCAATTAACTGCAATCCGCCGATCGCCAATTAACTTTTACACGATTTCTAAATGGAAAACTTTGACAGTCGATCGCAGTTTTTCCGTTAACCCACTTAGCTGGGCTCAGCCAATTGTTTGCACAGTTAATTTGTTTTAACATTTATAATTTAATGTTTTAATTAGCCTTAAGCTAAGTTCATTAATCAGCCAGAAGTCCAACTAGAAGCCAGCTTAGGTTAATAATTGCCAAAAAAAAAAAAACTTCTGGGCTTAATTGCCAGCCAGCAATTTAAAAGCAAACTGACAAATTGCAAGCAGCACGCGTAAACATAAAATATAAATAAAATTATTTATTTTTAGCCCGCATTTGGTAATAAAAAGTTTAATTAATATTATGTGGGAAACTAAGACTTAAACTGGGTTTAATATGAAAATAAATAAGTGGACATGACCTGGATGGTAAAAAGTATTTGAGATCTTGCCAGAAGTACTTTAAGTTAGGT